AACACCACCAATTATTTCATCACTTCGTTCTGATGAAGTTTGGTGGTTATCCAGATTATTGTATCGAATTTCTAGAGCTATTAATCGTACCAAATTTATTGAGCATCTTTCTCAATCCTATAATGATACTACATTAACTGGTTTTATTGCTCGACTTTTGCTTGATCCGGAATATCCAAATATTTCTGTTCCGGCACATTCATCAGTTATTGCATTTCAAAAGCCATGCTTAAATTTACGTTATTTTGCATATTATCGTAATTTAATACCATTTTGTATTTTCTTTAGTTTACTCTTTTTTCTTCCTATTTCATACTGCTCAATAATATTGTTTGGCATGATATTGTATAGTAGATTTTTGCCATAAATTATTTATACGGTTAAATGATGATAAAAATAGGAAGAGTTTTTTTAATTTAAATGAAACTTATCATAAATATCAACAAAAAGACTTTCTTTTTTTTTTGAGAAATGAAAAATATACATGAACAAAGTATAATTTATTACTTATTATTGATGCAAATATCAATCATTTGCTTTATTACAGTTATTCTTCCGGTTAAAAATTGTTCACTGCTTTATATCGCTTTATGCTATCAAAATGTTTTCATTATGATTTCCTTAATTGTTTTAATAGCAAAATTTTAAAGCTTTATCAGTATACTAAAAAAAAAAAGAATTTATTTCGATCTCTTCTTTCAAATGTTCATCATTTTCATGTTGTTGTTTTTTTTTTTTTTTTTTGTCTGAATTTGTATTTCAATAAAAGTAACAATTCTTTTTCTTTCTTTTTTTTGGCATAATGATGCACAGATTGGACCATTTATTTTCCAATTTATGACTTAAATTTATTTGAAATATCAATTTTTCTTTTTTTGATGCAAAATATCATTGAATAGAATCTTCGGTATCTCTTATTAAAAAAATATTTTCTATAATATCATTTTGTTAATATTCATACATTTTCTTCCAAAAATGATATGCTGAAACTGATAAGATCTGTAAGAGAGATATTATGGTTTGTATCAGTTAAGGATGTTTTACGTTTTTTATAATAAGATGAATTTTTTGGTTTAACGAAGGAATCTGTTCGAAGGAAATTAATTTTAGATCATTCTTCTAAGAATTCGAAGTATCATAAAATAACACAATATTTATATGATAATGATAGACAGTTGTCTTCATTTATCATTTATTTCATTTTATTTTTTAATCTTTATAACTAATTAAAATTAATTTATTTTCTGTAATATTTCATACTGTTTCTTAATGTTTATAATTAATTAAAAAAGGTATATTTAATCATGTTTCAGTCAATGGTTATGAAAACGTAGCTTTAAAAAATTTTTAAATAAAAAATTTAATTTTATAGATGATATTTTCAGGAATAAAGTTTTTTAATGGATGAATTCCTAGATATGAATAGTTTGGATAGTTTAAGAGCAATGCATGAAAGTGATGAGCAATGGAAATTACGACGAATGTTTCTTGAACGACACATGGCTAATTATCCTAAAAATCGTTTACTCTGTCTTGCGCAAATTTTTTGTAATATGATCTCATTGGGTTGTACGTAAGTTCATCATTATTTTATTTCTATTTTAAACATTGATAACTGATAAAATGATATTAGTATTATAGTAGAATACTAATAAGAAAAATTAATTATTTGATTGATTAACAAAATACTATGTAAATTTGATATCTTGAATAGATTAAATTAATATTATTTTACTAAATGAAAAATTTTGCATCTTAATAACACCAAAATTATTTTTTCTTTAGAAATTTGTTTTCTTAGAAAATGCTTTTATAAATTTCAAAATTAAATCTTATCTTGTTTTTCTTTTTTTGGATAAAATTCAAAAAATTGGTAATTTACAGTTAGTTTAATAGTTTTATTCTAAAAACTAACAAGTTTTCAAATTTAGTCAGTACATGTTAGCTTTAATTTATTCTTTCTTAATCTTAATTTATTTTTTTTTTTTTTTAAAAAAAGCTCTAATGTGCTATGAATAAAATTGTTGAGTTCATTTTTACGCCAATATCGATTACTAGAATATTTGATGGATAAGCAAAACACATTAGCACGAGAATAAGGTCAGGCAAATGTAACTGTCTTTGCAGGTATAACCCAGAATTGATGAAGACAGTCAGGGAAATGGGTGCAGGATTATGTGAAATGTCTAAGGTCAGTACTTTTCTCGAAGCTAATAAAGAATTGCAAGAATTTTTTGAATTTGGTGGACTCAAATTAATGCAGTAGTTTGAAAAATTTAGATCTATAGAATAAAGAGATGAACTTTATGTAGATAAGAAAGAGATAAACTTTATTTATGGAAAAATTTTTATTATAATCGGCGAATATTATAATTTTATTATTATCACCACATATTTAAATCGATTTCTTGTAAAATGATCTTTTTTTTTTCATTTCTTAGGGTTATAAAAGAACTTTTGAGGAGAACTCTATCGAAGCACCTGTTTCCAAGAAAGAAAGATTAGAATCAAGAAGAGTTAGTACTATCAGTGAAGATTCGCCATGCGCTTTGAAAAGAAAAGTTTGTTTGGATTCTTATGAAAAAGGGAAAAAAAAATTAAAGCTAATTTTTCTGTCTTTCATTATGCAATAATTTATCATCTTCTAATTTAGAACTATTAAAAATTTCTAGTTTAGCAATTCTTAGTTTTAGCCTTATGTTATTTTATTCAGTAATGTTCATTTCGATAATAAGAAATACGTTTCCTTTTTTTTTTCTTTGCAGAGTTTTATGATAATGAGAGCACAATTAACTGTCCTTGAAAAAGCAACTGAACCACTTGTTTCACTCAATCAATTAACATCACGACTCAAGTATAAATGGGAGCTGAAAAGTACAGAAAATGGCAAATCATTACTTCTTGTAAACGATGTTACTGTTTTGGAAGGGATTTTACCACCATGGAATGATAATGATGCAAAAAATTTTGCTGCTGCAGCTGCTTTAGCATCATTATCAAGGGTATGATTTATTACTTAACAATTCTTATCAATAAAAAAAAAAGTATTTTGAATGATAAAATGAAAAGAAATTACCACTTCCAAGTTTATCATACTTATATGACATATTTTCTTTTAAAACAAAAAAAGTTCTTTTTCTTCAATTTAAGACCTCAAAATTAAAAGTGATTATTCAACTACAATTAGGCATAACAAACATTTCCGAACAAATTATTAGCATTTGATTGTTCTTTTGATTCATATGACATCATTTATGCATTATAGGAAGATCGAGAAGTACGCGCAAAAGGTGGAAAATTTGAATTGTGTAAAGGTGATGATAGTGGCCCATGTGATTTTTATACCTCCTATCTTATGGATCAATTGAAATTGGCTGTTAAAGTAATGCCTAGCAATGGAACATCATTTGATAAATTAGAAAGTGGTCTTCGTGTGGTACGAATGCCATTACGATATGTTGCCGAACGTGGAACCGGGTAATGATGACATTATTTTCATATCTTATATCTAATTCTTTTTTACTTTAAAGTTAAAATACTAATATTTAAATTTGAATAATTTTAGATGGGAACAAAAAATATCAATAAATGCACTAAATGTTCAACTAGCGAATGCTATTTTACGAAAAGGTGAATGTAATAAAAGTCGAGAAAAAGAACGAAAAGAAGATCTGGCCACTTTAGTAATTCAGAAACTTAGTAATTCAGATCTTGAACTTATTCCGAGCAACAATGGATATATACTTCGCTAGTACCATCGCTTATAAAAAATATACGATATAGCATCTTTTCGCAACTGTTTGTTTGTTTTTTTCTTTATTGTGTGTTTGAAAAACTGGCAAATCTTTTTTTTCTTTCTGTTATATCAAAATCAAAAAAAAAAAAAAAAAAATTCGAGATAATGATATATGATAGTCCCAAAAATAAAGAAAATAAGCTAAACTTTATCTATTTCTGTTGTGGTTCACATTCATTTTAAATTTTATAAACACATCATCACTACCGTAATTTATAGTTACAGGACAGGAAATACATCTGTACAAATCTGACAATGATTGGTCAGAATTCAAAAATTCACATTTAAAAATTGATAGTGAAGTGTGTTACCTGAAAAAATCTAACGAAGTCAACTTAACAAATAACTAATAAACTAATTATACATAGGTGATGATCGCTTTAAAATAAACCAATTCAATAAATAAAATTATGTATACACATTAAGGGGTAAATAATACCAAAAATAATTCTAGTCAATGAACAATAAACAACACATGTAATTTAATTGTAATGAAATGTTATCGATTGAAAATATGGTAGTGATGAGAAAAATAATGTCAATCTGATCTAATTTGTCTAATTCCTTATTTGTTGTCTACTTTTATTCAAATCAATGATTACTATTATTTTCTACCATTTTTATGATTGAAATCATTTCAATTATTCGTTTCGTATTATGTGCAACTCTTAAAATTCTGATCGAGTAATGACTAAGCAAGTGAACCTCCTTTCGTTATTTAAATGTTCGCAAAATAGTAAATTGCTTACTACGTGTTTATTATTTTAACAATACTCTCCTATAAATAAATATTAAAAAGTTTTTTATTTCTAACTTTATACAACTAACATTCATGCAACACTGAAGTTGGGATGAAATATTTCACAAAACTTTTTATAGTTATACTACATAAATCTATTGCATACCATTTTCTTACAGTGAAAGTTTGTATTGAATGGGTAATTTTTGAATTGGAAGTGTGAATTTAGTCATTATGTCATTCTTTCGTTTGTTCATTTTTCAAAAATTTCCGCAAATTTGTTCGATAAATGGAAGTTTTGTCATTTTGTTAGAGTCTTCATGAAAATAATATTCTCTTCTGAATATTATTTCACATTTTTCAATTCAAAATCAAAAAAAAAAAAAAATTAACATTCTCACCTTTTATTAAAATATAACTTTAGTTTATGGAAAATCACTGTTTAATTATCTAAACTGTTGCTTACTAAGATTGTCGAAATACAGCATCATCAGAAACCTTTGTCTCTTCTATGCCACATACCGTAGAACCTTCATGAATTCTACCTTGTACTTGTGAGCCACCGATATCGATCCATAACTATAAATATGTGTGATGAAGAAGACTGTTATTAAAATATAACTTTAGTTTATGGAAAATCACTGTTTAATTATCTAAACTGTTGCTTACTAAGATTACTAAGATTATCCAATTTCAATTGTAACGTCTAGGCATGAATTATGCAGGAAATTTTATGCAAAACTGGTTTAAAAGGTCTTAAATCATTTGCCTAAATTTCAATAAAAACAAAATTTGCAACCATTTGTAATAATGATGAGCATTTTCAATTTTCAATTATGTGAAGAAACAAACATTATCTTCAGGAGTGATATCCGAGTGTACCCAAGCAAAGGCAAGTGGTCGATGAAGGCGAACACTGAATGTTCCCGATGTTATTTGTCCCACTCGCTGAAATGATAAGTCACTTGTGTTATACTGATAACATTATGTTATCATTTTTCTTGCATATATTATAGATCATACAAAATTATCCCAAATAGAACAATAGATAACATACATCTTCTGAACCTTCCTTACGAATTACTTCCATTCGTTTCGGTATCATTCTCCAACTTTGAGGTTCAGTAAGCGGCTCACAAATCAAAAGTACCTAAAAATTTTGTATTTTAGAATTTAAGCGATTTTATTCAGATGTAGAAGAAGTGATATATCTTCCACTTATTTTGAATAAAATCAAGATTGCTTTTTTTTTACTATTGCTTCCTGAATGCTTTTCTGATATGTTAACCATATCGTAACTAACATTAGTTGATTATATGATTTTTATCTTACAAAGACAATATGCTTTTACTTTTCTTCAAATTTCCGCGAATGCGAATGCATTTTAGTTGATATTTCCAACCAAAGAATAAATATTGGATTTATTTGACTTCAGTTAGTTTGTTTTCCATTATTTGGCTCTCAAGTCATAGAGAGATAACGTATGATATGAATGAAATATGTACGACTCTTACTGTCTTTAATCTTTCTTTACGAAATAATGTATCTTACCGCTCCTAATGTCCCTTTTTTATTTTATTTTAATGGAAACATTATTGAGGTACGTATGGACACCTTTTTAATGAATATATTTATATACACTTTTAGATCATTTATTCCTTTTGCAAAAATTTTGAATTATTTCTAAGATTTTATTATTTGAAATTTAAAGTTACCTGCTTTCGATTCCATTGTTTCTGCGATAATTCCATGCAAGACGTTTTGCCAATGAAGTTTTCCTTATTCAAATCTACCATCTGACTTAATCCACATTCGTAAGGATTTGTGTTTAGCGTAAGCTGTATAAAGATAACGAAATATTCATTAATAGCAAATATCACTATCAGGATAGAATAATAAACAAGAAATTTTCCCATCTATTGATGTCCATTAATGTGATATCATACACCATATGATACTTATTATCAAATGCTAGTGAAAGAATGATAAAATAAATAAACAAACATACTTCTCTGCCCCAAATCTTATAACCATTCTCGATACGCATCATATTCAGTGTACTTTGACCAAAATTAACAATTCCATAATTTTTACCAACCTCCATTAATGAATTATACAGTCCCAATGTATCACCTCTAAAAAAGAATCAGTTTAATTACTAAGATATTAACGTTTTGAAGAACCGTTAAACCATTTTTCGATTACAGCTATACTATTATCAAATAATATACAAATGCTAAGATAGTTTTGCTAGAGTTATAGTCCGATAATTTTAAATTATATGTTCAAATTGATAAAGTTTTATAATAGAATTTTTTGAAAGAAGAACTGATGAACAACTCTAAAATATATTTTTACTGCTTAATTTCATATATAATAATATATTTTAATAGCAAACCTGCTATGATAGAGTTCATAAGAAAGTTGTCCTGTTGCATCTGTAGTACGAACAGCAATAACTGGTGCTGATCCAAGTCTCATTAGTCGTGCTGCATTTTGTTTAAAACCCAAGTCTGATTTTGTTAATTCTTCTAACACCTGAAATTTTGAATTCCAGATGTTCACTTCAGAAATTAGTTCCATACACAACCATTCGTTGCAAATGATATAAAGAAGCAATTAAAAATAAAATGGTATATCGAAGTAAGTTATTAAACACGAAAATTTTTATATCTGAACTAAAAAAATAACCAATGAATTACGAAGATATAACAGAAAAATCAAAGCAATCTAAAAGAATTTTTTTTTTCGTTAATTACTGGTTGATAAATGACATAAAAATTGAGCAGTAAAGTCTAACAAAACATTTCTGCATGTTTCATTACACATTTAATCAGTATTGTTTGCTTCTTATCTGCTAATGTTATATCGAAAGATATAACAGTAACAGATAAAAAAGCAATACAAAATCATAGCTTAAATTATAGACTGTCACTATCGAAAAAAGAAACTCACTTCCCGACTTTTTGGACCGACAATAGCAAGCGAAGCTAAATACTCACTAACGCCAGATATTTCTACACTAGCTTCCATTTCAATTGCAGCTCTTTTTAGCCAGTTAAGTTCACGAGATTCTCGTTCTGGATCGGTTAAAAGTATAAATTCTGATCTGTAGTATTTCAGATTTTCAAAAGTGTACCTATACATATATATATAATAATTGTATAAAAACGGTTAATCAATAAACTTATATTTTATCCTTTACTCTAATTTTTGAATAACACCCTCAATTAGCATCGAGTCAGTTAGACCAAGATTATAAACTGAAATTTTTTACTTGCAAAAATTAAGATTTCCATATCGTATAATTAAAGAAGAATGTGCAACCAAACAATTCTCCATGACTATAAGCTACTAATTAGCTCAATCTTCATATTGTAGAATTACCTGTACTGATCATGATGGAAAAGGTCTAATGATCCGAAAATATTTCCCTTTTTCGTAAGCATTAATCCCGACGATACTTCGCCTAGTTGAGGTGGCTCATTAGCGAGCACATAACTGAGCAACTTTTCAGAATCCTTACCACGTACCTCAAAAGATGGTAGTATATATTTCGAACGAAAAGAAAAAAGAATGAATTTTAAACTCAATTTTCAAAACTTGATTGAATACTGTGAATTTTTTAAAATTTCGTCATTTTATTGCAAGAATTTTTTAAATTTTCCTCTGATTTCCAATAATGGTCAAAATCTTGTCTTTCTAATATTTAATCGCTGACTTTCTAATATTTAATCGAAAAAAAAGTTAATTAATGAATAAAAAGAAAAGGAAAGAGAACTTCAATTTTGCCACGCCAAGATAAATCGATAACACCACATTTATTTGATACTAACTCATATTCACGTATCATATTCGGTAATTTATCTTTGTATTCAGCAGCAAATGATTCGGCAACCTGTAGAAAAATGATTACTTATCATATGCAAACTATCATCAATATCATAGTTCACATTTCAGTACTTTCAATGATTTATTGCGAACTGCTTATCAAATCACTAAAACATTTATATTTCTCCATTTTAATTAAAATATATGAGTATAAATTGCTCATATAATATGATGCCATACATAACAAATGTAGATTATATGATTTCAAGGTTTTGAAAATATTTTATAACCTTAACAGTTATCACTCTTGTAACAACAATTTAATTAAATTTTATGGAGAATTACAAACTAAATACAAATAGTAAAAATTGAAACAAATTGAATTGAACCAAAAAAGAAAAAAAAATGTAAATGACAAGATATAAAATTACCTCCCAACCATTGCGGAATAAATAAAAGCATCCCTCCTTTTGTAGCCGCCCATAAATTCCACTTATACGTTCTGTAGGTCGTCCAGCTAATCGATTCTTGTACGACCAGTTGTAAAACATGGAATATGTTTCACGACATTTATCAATGATATAATCTCGTGTTACCCAACGATCAAATCTGTAATGAAGTAGTAAAATAAAAATAAATAAATAAATAAGTAAATAAATAAATAAATATGCATAACAAGAAAGAAAAAAAAAACAATAAAATTTAACAAAGAAAAAAAAAATTAATTTCAAATAAGCAAAAGAAACTTCCCATATTCTCGAAACCCACTAGAATTATTAGTAATGTAAAGAATTCTTCATTTTTTTTAGCGAAATGCTTTCCAATAGAAAATATTCAGTTAAAATCATTTAAATATTTCAAAAACAAAGACGATAGATTAAATTATTAAACATCGAAAAAATTCGATTTCTGAATCTAATAGAATAAATACCAAACAATCTCTCTAACTTAAAGCATTAATAACAAAATGAAAGTGAAAAAGGACATAAAAAAACAGAAAATATGAAAAAATAAAACAAATTTTTAAGATAAAAAGTAATAAAGTAAAAGTGAAAAAATTATAAACCAAACCACACCTATTAGCATCAGTATCAAACAACTCAGATGGAGGTTCACCATCGATCATCCAATCTGCTAAATACTTTCCCATTCCACCACCGCTTGAAATACCATCAAAATATCCAGCCTATAAGATGAATTAATTTATTTCCAAGACAACTAAATATTTCTAAAAATCTTAAAAAAGTAAACTAATTGTCAGAAATATAAAAGTTTCACCTGAAGCCAATAATTTTGTTTATGATTGATAGGTCCAACAAGCGGATAACCATCTGCCATCATTGTAACAACAGATGCACATGCATCAACATTAACACCACGTAAGCATGGAATAAGATCACATGCACGCTCATAAGCTTGTTTCAAGCGTTTGAAATCTGGTTCAATGACCACTTCTGAAGAGATCTAATATTGCTCTGTAATTTCAAAAACATCAATTTAAATTTAAAGAAATGAAATTAAAAATGAAGTATAAATTTTTTTCCAAATTTCATCTATTTTTTTTTTTCATACAAATGCTATAAGTGATTAAAAGAATTAAATAAGACAAACAAAAACGAAATATTGCATTCAATTACTGCACTACTATTCCAAAAACTTTAAAGCATAGTGTAGAAATGTTATTCTCTCCAAGTTTTATTATAAGATTAATTACTAGCTTCATTATTTTGCTATCTTCTAATTCACTATATTTTTCAAAATCTTTTATGAAGGATTATCATGAAAATTCAATTAAATAAAAACAATCCTAATAAAGCAAGCAGGGTTATATTTTTGTGCTACATAAAAAAAAAAAAAGAACTCCAAGCATACCTTCCGGCATACGTTCTATCCAATCTTCCCGAATAACAACATCTGAAGGTTTTTGCTCGAAACCACCAAATAACAAACTGTCACCCTCTCTGTGTATATAAAACGTACTTTCATGATCTATAATAGCTGGCAAATCCAATAGCGGTTCTACCTAAATTTTAAGATAATATTGCATATTGCTTTCTCGATTAAAAATACAATCTAAAATATTTGATCAATCATGAAAATCAATCCCAAATTATTAATTTAGCTATTATAGTTGGGCTACTGTTGTTGATAAGAAAACTTCTACTTTCCAAATAATTTTAAATTTCTTAAAAAAAGAAAAATTTGATTTACTTCAGGTAAAGGACCAATACGAGCAAACTGATGTTCAACTATTGCAAGCGGTATATCTAAGTTTGTCAAACGACCAAATTCTCGAGCCCATAAACCTGAAATTCTTTTTATAAAAAAAAAAAAAAAAAACATACACACAATCAGAATGCTAATACTTTTTATATAAAGGTTTCATCTAAATGTGGCATAAATGAAATCCATTGATACAAACAAAATTTCACATTAATGCTAAAAGATACAATAACATCTTGAAAGACCTTCTATCTTTCTCTTTCTCTCTCTCTCTCTCTCTCGCTCTCTATGTCTTTCTCTTTATTCATAAATAAACCATACTGAAAACTTCTACTGTAGTATCAGAAGTACTATAAAAATACAATCTAAAATATTTGATATGAATATCAATCTCCAATTATAAACTGAAATTTAGCAAAAAAAGGAGCCATTAAAAATTGTAAAACCAAATAAAATTCATTAAGAAATAACCATCTTTAATTACTTTTAATTAAATCTAACAATAGAATCGTCTACCTGCTGCATTAACAATATTTCGAGTTCGTATTTGTCTACCATCATCAAACTTCACAACCCAATCAGTTTTCCCCTCTTCCACTTCTGTAATTTTTGGGCATTGTTCGATAAGCACAGCACCGCGTTTTTCAGCACCTTTAGCCAAAGCAAGTGTTAAATTTTGAGCATTTATATAACCATCGCCAGATGTATATAAAGCTCCCAAAATAGTTTTTGTATCCAAAATAGGTGCCAAATGTTTCACTTTGTTAGCATCAATCAATGTTGTTTTTGCTACATCACCTTTCTGTAAAGAAGATTGAAAAATTGTAAAATATTTTACGAAACATTTAAAAAAAAAAAAAAAAAAAACATCCGTATTGCTATGTAAATGACAGATACAAGATTCTTTAAATTATTAATCAAACTTTTAATATTTTAGTATGAAATTAAGCATTTTTTGTTGAATTTATATGATGGAAAAACAATAGTAGCATAGAGTAGAAATTAGAAAAAGATTTGAAATATTCATTCAACAACTTAAGAAATTTTCATTTTATTTCATTTTTTATAGAAAAAATGAAAAGTACTTGAAAATAATCTCGAGCTGTGTACTGTCGAAATTCATCTAAACGTGCCTCATCAGTTGCTAATCGTAATGTCCCAGGACGAAAAAAGTCAAGTTTCTAAAATTATATATGCAATAAATTAAAGAATTATATAATTTGACAGAAATTTTAATCTTTCTGGTAGAAACTTCAAATGATCAATAAAAAAAAAAAATTACAAAAATTCCAAAGCTTAAGAGGGTTTAATTTTAAAAGACATACTTCATCTGCTTCTTCTTGTAAACGTGCATATAGTTCAACAGACCATGCAAGAAATGGTTTGTAGCGATGAATTGGATGTGCTGAGCTAACCAAACCTGGCTATAAATTTAAAAATAGAATTAAAATGAGGAGTAAAATGTGCTGAAAAATATACCCTAAAATATCTAAACAATTTAAATCAAAGAGGATGAAGAATCATTCTATAACACAAAGACATCCAACAAATTCATGTGTTATAAATTAAATTAACTTAACTTAACTTAATTAATTTCAAATCAAAGATTTCATATACAAAACAAAAATATGCTATCGTAAAATTTTAGAAATTTCAAGAAATAAAGAAAAATTACAATTCATTAAAGCATTTTTTCACTTAAATTTCACTTAAAATTTTTTTAGGTGAAATTTGTGTAATAAATTTTAAATTTAAAGAAAAAAAGAAAAAAAATTAAAAGATTAGAAACTCAAACCAAATGCAGCGATATGCCATCGACTAATTTTCCTCTCTCCAATAAAACTACATCACGAATACCACGAAGTGTTAAATGATAAGCTAATGATGTTCCAACAACACCACCACCAACAATTAATGCAAATGCATCCTTTGGTACTTCACTAAGATGCCTACATAATTTTCTATTGTAAATTTATTACTACAAATTTTAATTTGATAAAAACTCAATTTTTTTTTTCCAACACAGTATTCATTTTCATTTTAATCAATAAAATAATATTGTTTTCTTGATTGATGAAGAAAAAAATTTTCAAACTATTGATAAGCTTTATAATTGAACAAAAATTAAAAAGTTGAATTTAATTTAAAGGTAAAAATCATAACATTTCTTCAAAATAGTCAGATGCTAAATAAAAAAAAAAAAAAAAAACAATATTAGCAAAATATAATGTATTAATAATTCATCACCTCTATTTTAGTATGAAATACTAGGTATTTCATTTCTTTCTTTTTTTTGCATATTTGTGTCTTATCCAAACTAATGGAAAAAAGTTTTGTTTTTGCTTATGTAACAATAACTTCGATAAATCTATCAATGGACTAATTAATTAATCATCAAACAATTCAAAAACAGGAATGAACATAGGATTTTTGATCAAAAAAGCTTTCACTAAGTTAAAAAGTTAATAAACATTAATAAGAAAGGATGTCACATTATAGGTATCATATACATAGATGTCACACATTGAAATATCACATTATTTTTTAAAAGATCAACAGACAGTGAAAATAATCAATTTCAAAAATCATTATTTTATTATAATGAAATTTATAAATTCAGTTACCGTGCCTGCTCAATTAATTGACGTTTTCCGGAAGCGGTTTTCAACAACGCAAACATTTTACACTTCTGCTGTTAAACTCGGCAATAAGCAAGATAAATAAAATTATCAAATATCTGAAATTCTCAGTTAGCTATTTCTTGTAATGTTCTTTGCAGCAGCATATAAAATCGAAAAGTATGAAAACCAAAGCATAGTTATTTTAATGAATAAAGAGACAAGCTTAATATAACCTGTATTTCTAACACTGATTACTAATAATTTAAATTTAGCTTTAAAAAAAAATCAAGACAACTACTTCTCTGTTGTTAATGTTTCTAATCAAAAAAATGAAAGAACTTTGGAAGCTATCATTTTTTAAAAAATTTATTCAAATAATTTTAAAATATCAAACATATCGCTTCTTTCCGTCTCGTTTTTTCATCGAAATACTTCCAACTATCGATATATTTTATAAGAATATTAAGTGATAATATCTTTACCTTTACCATTTTTCCCAAAATGTTATTTTGTACTTTAATTAACGAACATTTGTTGTAAAAATTGTATTCAATAAGTTTATTATTTATGATATTAATTTAACATAGTATAAAATTCATCAACTAAAGTGTATTTCCACTGATAAATGTGAGCATAAGCTGTAAACAACATTTGAATATATGTGTATGAAATAAATTTATAAATTACGAGCTTCAATTGCTATCTTTCGATTTTCTCATAATTTATGATCTTTTAAATCATCGATGATTTGCAACTCTCTGTCACTTGTGATTATCAGCTAATCCTTCCTTTACGATCAAAAATTTTCAAACTATCGTTTCATTTCTATGCTAAGAAACATCTGAAAATCAAACTAACGTAATAATTTTTAAATCTTATAAATCCTGAAGTTCTGGTTAACAACAGATCAGTAATGTCTAAAATGAATAAGAAAAATTTTGAAATGAAAATCTAATTTTGAACAATCACAAATACTGATAAGTATTTGAATGTTGCTCTAAATTCAAAGAATTGATTTCTAATCATCAATACATAAAATTTAATAAATTCATCTTTGAAATGTGCATAGTGAAATATACTGAGAATCATATAACACCAAACGTCTAGCATATTACAAAGCTGCAAAAGATTTAGAAAATAAAATTTAAAGTAATATTCGTCTAGCAGAACAATTAATTGTTCAATTTAACGGTCAAATATGAAATCGTAGACATGAATGGGCAAAATATGTCAATCTCGAAATTAAGAAAAAAAGAAAACACTATGCTGCAGAAATAAATTTCGAATAATAAAGTAATAATATCCAAGAAAAATAATTTAAATGGTAGTCTACCAAAGAATTGCACAATGCAAAAACATATGTGTTCTTAAAATTTATTCTGATCAAAACTTTAAATGTCAATATTTTAAAATACAATTATATCAAAAAGAATGCAAAAGAAGACGAATACTGCAGATGGACAGAAAGATGAATGGAAATAATTACTTGAATTCTTCGGGAACATAATTATGCTTGATTTTAAGCTAATTAAGCAACTTATTAACATTATAAAGTTTAATGATAAAATTTCTTCAAATTCTTAACCTTAATTCAAAAAAAAGTGATTTATCAGAATAAATTTTAACAATACAACCAGTTAATCACTAATCAACAGGATGAAAAATATGATAAAATCTCATGTCAAAAAGTTTCAGTCATTCAAAAATAGTGCTTAAGTGCAAAATTTGTGTACTAATTTGTGAGGGAAATCGATATGGAATCATCGCAACATACAGAATAATTGCTTTGGCTGATGGTCTAAGTTGATCACTTGCTGCTGGATTACGATCTAATTCTTCCGCTAACAATTTCATTACTGCCACGCATAAATCTGGTAGCACTAGCCGTATCTGAAAAGTCGAGAAAAAAGTTCTCCAAAAAAATTTAATTCCTAACATAACGCTCCTAATGTTACTACATTAAGTATAATTAATCATAAGTTCTATTAATTCTGCTTGAAACATATTTTAATTCACAAAAGAAGAGTCAATTTTATCATGAAATAAATAAGAGTTACTAAAAAAATTTCAATAAGGAAATTAACTTTTAGCAATGTAAAGCAAATTTTTGAAAGATTAGCTATTTACGAAGAAAGTTCAAGAAATAAATAAAAATGAAAACAAAAAAGGGAAAAAAAAATGAAAATGCGCAAAAATGTGTATTTATTTATAACATTTTCATGATGCTTAACCAATAGGTTAAATTGTTGGTATTTTTCTTTTTAGCAATTCTCAAACAAAAAAAGCTCCACATTTTTAACTCCACAAAAAAAAAAAAAACAAAAACAAAAACCGACTTGATCAGAGACCATGTAAAATGTAGATACAAATGCTTGCACCTCATCTGGATTCATCGGTATGCATTTCAGTTTCTTTATTATTTCCATACATGCTTCAAATCTGGAAATAATTCTTAAAAGATATGTATCAGATGATCAACTAATGCTGAGCTGTTAGACAGATATTATAAAAATAATTTCTTTTTAGTTTAATTTCCTTATTGAAATTCTGAGTATAAATATATCATTCTTGCATTTCTAATAAGAAAATGAGTTATAAAGTTTTATTATTTTTAATTTATTGTTCATATCATAGCTAGCACATATTTAAACCATTGGCAATGATAACTTCACATTTTCGCATGAATCTAGATGACATAACCAGTCACATCCATTTAGAATAATAATATGATAAGCAAAATAATTTGAAATTATCAACTTACTTCCTGTTATGATAAAATTGGAAAAACGTGGACAAGTCAAGCAAAAGATATAAAGTTGGAAGTGCATCCAATGTATTCTTTCGAGCTGTTGTCGTCGAATGTTTGCAAATATTTGCAAGCCATAGCGCAAGCTCACGAGCTTCACCGGCATCCTTGTAATGAATTATCTCTTTAGCTAAACCTTCGCAAGCCAATCGTATTGCGTCATCGACATGCTGTACATAAGTTTACATTACATTTATGAAAAAAACCAATCAAAATTTGAGAACTAATGACCCAATTTATATACAATTTTTTAACCAAAAAATACTTCTATTAAAGCTATTCAAAGATCACATAAAAATTTTAATAAAGAATAAAACTAACATTAGCAGCCATATAAAGTTGTCCAGCAAGAGTTCCATCACCGCTAACTTCAGTATCTGAGGCTACTTTTGCGATAGCATCTTCTATATCGATATCTTTGGCGTATTTATCGATTAAACCTTCATGTCGAGCACCTTTTTCATTAATTTTCCCAATAATTCGCCATGTTTCATCAGTCAAATAAATCGCACGAGAAATGCAAGAGTAAAATAAATTCCCACCTGCAACAGCAATTAATTTTCTTTAAATTACTAGACTTTTTGTCTCTTGTTCAGTAATAACAATGAGGATTTATCAATATCAACTAAACTTTCAAAATTCAATGCAGTAACAAGTCAGCAATGTTTGTCATAGTTTTATTCACTTCTTTAGATCCTATCAACCGCATTATTAAATATTCGTACCTTAGAAATTTCTCCCCAACATCTTCATTCATTTTACTCTCAATTTCAATTGATAACATAATTATATTTCGAAGTGCATTCAAAATTTGCGGGAAAATTTCCTTCCTCACTTAACAATACATTAAGAATTGAAGAAATCAAATTACAATGTTATTTATATATGATAAAATCATTACCAACAGGTGATTCCATCTTGTTTAAAAAATATGCATAATCCAAAGTACGTTCAACATCAGTACATTCAAATCCTTTCACATAGAGCAAAATAAGGCGACAAAAATTGAGAGAACTTTGTACTGGGTCTTCTTGCTGACTAAGCACTGAATTTAAATAGATCAAATTCGTATTACTACGATGTATTAAATATATATAGCATTTTATAAAATCTATAGATTAAGTGTTCTACTAGTTTTCCATCAGATTGCTTAAAACTGTAAAAATAAGTAACTTTAAGATTTCAAAAAAAAAAAAAAAAAACTAACGTATTGACTGGCCAATATCATCAACAAGAATCAGCACACCGTTGAGAAATAATAAAATGGCCATATGAATTGCATGCATCAACATATTATTTCTATAATTTCAAATTAATTTTACTGCTAGCCTGTTTTTTTGTATGAGAAAGTAATCAGTCCAGAAAAATTTTATATTTTATATATCACAAAAGAAAAATTTTAGACTGCAAAAATATTACAAATTATTGAAAATTTTCATTACTTTCAAAGTTTTGTATACCAATAGTTTAAGTCCAGATAAATTAAAAATTCTAATAAAAGATACTATAGAGAAGACAAAGCATATTAATAACCTATATAGTAGATTTATCGCACGTTCATACTGTCCTGTTAACCATAATGCTTGAAAATAAATTAATACACTTCCATCACTACCGACAAAGTAGTTTTCACCTAAAAAATACCTTATTATATAATTAGAATAATTTAACTATTTGATTATTTAATACAGCATATCTAGATCAGGAATATGCACTGTACAAAGCGACATATGGATTTTAAAATGTAGGCTTAAATATACAAGTTACAATCTTATTTCGCTGCAAACTGCTATAGCTCAAGCAGTCAATCATCAATCTCAACTAATCAGTAAAATTTTGATAATTTCTAAAATTTCATTATGAAAGTGACATCTGTTCAATATCCTATCATTCACTGCCACTCTTATCATTTATTTGTAGATAATACATAAATGAAAATACTCGCAATATTTATAATTACAAATTACCATAGTCGACGGATATAAGTCGCTGAAGCTCTTTGAAAACTGCAGGCGAAAGTGCAGGATCTATACCACATGGATATAATTTCAACCAAAGCCAATTTTCTAAATTATTGCAAACTTCAGGTACATCACCACCAAGCAAAGCACAATATACTGCTTTTTTGTAAATATCCACAAACGAACGCGATTCACAACGCCATTCCGCTTTCACTTTTAGTCGAATATCAGCAGAAAGCCTAAGATTAAATTAAAATAGGCATTAAATTAAAGACAGCCATTTAAAGCAATT